GTTTGGATGTCGGACTGGTCGTTTGACGGCTTGTGGGTGTGTGAGAGGATGTCGTTATCCCATGCTGGGCATCAAAGTCGGACGGGACCTTGCATGCGGATGCGTAGTTGGTCATGCAGGGTAGTGAAACTGTACATTGGAACTGGTTCCGGAATCTGTGATCGCTGAGCGGCTTGATCTTGTACCGTTCTGGTCGGTTTGTAGCCTTTTGATCGCTCCTCATGCTGCTGCTATTGTCAGATGTAAGATGCTCTTGATGAAGTAGCTAATGTCGGTCGGGTGGTGCCGCTGGAAATGTTGCCTGTAGATGCTGCGGAGATGAAGTTGATGAAGTCATTTGCCTTGTCATTTATGGCTTGGAAATGGCCAACTTCAACAGCTTGCCATCGAACAATCACACAATAATGTCACATCTTCAGTTGTCCGCCCTCGGCGAAACAGTTGCAAACGCTTGTGCCACCGTTGCATGATACTCGGAACAGGTGCACCCGTCCCCCAAGGCGAGCAACCAGATGGCCAACATTAGAATGGCCACCGCTGATCACTGGTGTAACATTTGTTGATCCTTGCCTGACATGATCAGGCATCCACATTATAGGGGGGCAGGGCTGGAGCACGGCCATGCAAGTCAGCATTCTGGGTGGAAATAATCACCTTGGTTGCAAGAAGGCGATACCCGGCTGGGACACAAAATGCCAAGAACATTGGGTTTGACTGCGGGTCTAGGGCCCAGTGCAAGTGGTGTCCGGTATTCACACTCTCAAAGAAGGCCATGCCGTGGTTTCAAGCAATCGGCTTTGGAGCAGGTTTTTTCCTAAGCCGACGATAGACCATACACTACAAAATCGTACTAGGCTGGCAAAGGAACGTCACTGTGCACTGCTCAGGACTTCATGTTATGTTCACTGAGCTCTGTATACAGCGGCAGCCACCACCATTTACCGTATGGATATTAAAACAAGAGTTTCTTCCTTCGTGTGGACGCTATTTGCAGATTGAACGCCAGAGGGAGTTTGGGGGACATAGCAGGGGCTGTCTATGTCGACTTTGGAGCAATAAGGTTTATCCTTAGCGTCACAGTTCTTGAAGCCTTCCCCCCTACTGTCAAACAAGGTTGAGGTGACACAACCGCCTTTGTGTCACCTCTGCGCCAACAGGCCTCCCAAGGCAACGGCCCGGGTCACGAGCACATCGATGAATGCACCTGCACTGATTGAAGAGTCACAACAGTGGCACAACGGTACCACATATGGAAACTTGCAAGGCAATTGATAGCGATGTGGATTCAGGGCCGACAGCGCAAGGTGGGCACATTATCTCACGATATCTACACCTACGTCGACTACTGTTGTTAGTGCACTGTCCGCTTCAGTCTTGATGTCCACGTGACGAGACCAAATCACTGACGTAGACAGGGTGAGTATGCTTATGTAAATTGGATTGGTTAGTCGGCGCTATTCCAGCCTCTGTGTTGCTGGTCGGCGTTGCACCAATTCCGTGCTTTCTCGAGGCTGCTGTCTTTCGCGTCTCGAGTGAGCCCAACAGTGATATGCAAATTGGCGATAGTCACTGCCCGCGTGCCATGCCAAAGTGCACAACACAGACCGAAGAATACAATATACACACAAGCGCAACGTCCTGAAGCACACTCCAACAGGTCGTGTGAGCCACCCCCTCCCGACCGACAGCCTGTTTGTGCAGTCAACGGGCAGTCAAGTTGCACATCTGTACAAGGGGCTGCCGACGGCCATACTGCTGTGGCGCAAAATGCACTCCTGCTCATCTCGCAGAAGGGAGCCCAAAGAACGTGCAGGATTTCACGCCCATTTCGCATCATTTTCCGGCAGTTCTTGAAATGAAAGACCGCAGAGTGGTCTCCACCAGACTGGAAGTCTTGGCAGCCTCCAATTCGGGACCTACAATGGCAATTGCAACTATCAGATGTGCCAAACTGAAAACCGGCAAGATTTTGATTGATGCGAAGACCAAAGAAAAACATGCGATCTCGGAATCTCGGAAACTTGCAATGAGCACAGTCAACAATGCGACACCGCATGGCAAAGAGAACCAGGGATTTGCAAGGCCACCACAACAGCACCGGTATTCATCCAGGCAGAAGCTCTCCACAAATTAAGAAATTTGGCGATGATCAGAACATTTTGCAGATGGCAGCAGCCTTTTGCATCAGCAACTCAACGCCCTTGGGAAGTTTGCTACGTGGTCACAGAGTCCTAATAAATGCAGACACCCAGATGTCAACGAGCACCCACCAACGCGTTCTCCAGGGGCCCCATCCTGCCAATGGATCATCGTTGGGACGCATGTCAGATGCAGCTCAGGATCATGCCTTCAAAGCACCAAGAGTCACAACATCAACATCTACATGGAGTCCAGCCAGGCCAAGTTGTCACAGCATGAACACATCCAATTCACAGCACGCTGTTCTGAAGACACGAGGTGGTGTGATGGGACAGGCAGTGGTCAGAAAGATTCAACAAAGCTGGAAAATATGCGAGATTGGCATGTGCCTGGTGATCAACGTAATAACGCTTGACTTTATCTTCCCAGCTGTGGCAAAGCACCGCCCTTACATCTGTTGGGCGATTCCATGTGCACCATGGAATGAAGTGAAGCCAAATTCTTTGGCAAGCACATGCCCACCATGTGCACATCCCCCACAGCACAAGTACATAAAAAAAAGTTGGTGGACCCCGGCCTCCCATCTGACAGACAGAGACTTTTGCTGCAACAACTGGCCACAGAACAGCAACAGGATCAAGTCTCGCTGATGCCCTTTTCAGATCGCCCACCTGAACGGGTGGTGCTCGTCCTTCCACACTGGACGAGATCCCACCGCGACCTCCAACAGCGTGCCCCCTGCTTCACGAACCAGCTCCCTAGCAATTGGTAGCGCACGGTTTGTGTCTCCGCACCACGACTCACCAGTTTCTGGGTCAGGATCAGCTGGTAGCACATGGGCAACCGCACAAATGAGTCTCCTCAGCCTGCAGGCACTGATTCCTGTGACTAGTCTGTCTGTGCTCCTTCTCGTCTGCCTGAGGTATATTATGCGCTTGGGTTTTGGCACTTGAGGGATTCAATTGGGTGTGGCTTTGATATGAGCACTGTTTCCTGTCAACTTGCATCAACTCGATGAACCTTTGTGGGCCTTGATACTTGTTGCCTCGCATTGTTGGGCATCTGTTTGCCGATCCAATGCGGCCTGATGACCGGCTAGCCACACAGATTCATCAGGCCCTCGTGTGCACTAGAATGATTGCTAGAAATCACACAAAAGGCACCATTACTGCTGTTGCACGCTAGATGGGCCTTTGCAACAGTGTAACACAGAATGAACTGCCACTAAGCAACATTCTGAGCTAGTTGCAAGCCAGCATCACTTCATCGACCACAATCACCAAAAGAAACTTAGAAACCAGTCTTCCAAGCAAATAACAGTGAAGCAACTCGGTTTCCGACAGACTGCAGAACAGTGCAGACTTTCACTGTCACATGTATCATTTCGACCCATACAACCGGAGGTGGCAAGATATTGCTGCGATTCATATGGTGCACCTCCAAAACAGGACAATCTAGAGTTGAGATCTAGATATAGAAATGAGACAATCTAGAGTTCCTCATTCCATGACTTCATACATATACTCTTCACTGCACTGCTCCCCTTCATGGGATTGTTGAGACAATGCCCTTGTTGTATTGCAGACTGCCACTTGCCCCACTGCTGCCAAACACAAACACATCACAACAAGACTGGCCACTGTGTTGCCTTATCTGCAGTTTGATGTGCAGTGTTCTGCTGAAAACGACCACCCTTTGCCATGTTGTGCATGCAGATGTGCCCTTCAAACTTACCAACGAATATGACATATCTTGGAGCTGGGTATGCCGGCAGCCGGGCAACTGCTGATGGAAACTCATTCGCAGGGCAGGGCTTGGGATCATTTTCTATTGCTTGGGGTGAAAATATCCCTGTTGAGAGGTATCTGTCCCCTCTGTCACAGATGATCACAGCGATGACAGCATTCTCCACTTCGCTCGATAAACGAAGAGCAGCTGACACAGCCCCGCCAGACGACACCCCACAGAAAATCCCTTCCATTCGTGCGAGGGCACTGTAAGCCAAAGAGCACCCATAATTCTAGTCAGAACAGGCTCCGAGACCGTCTATTGGCAATTTCCCTATCAGCACACTTTTGCTCACTTCATGACATCAACTTCTCTTCACTAATGCGCACAATGATCATTCAACATTGCTGACTGTGCAATATTAGGAACACAGTATCGCTTGCATCGTTCATGGAACACAGAACGCCACCCAATGGCAGATACAGGTGTGCTGAGCTCGCACGGGGCCCAAGACCATTAATTTGGTTGCTGACCAATTCGTTCCACCTGTGAATCGCAAGTGAAGCATCACAAGGAATACAAAGGATGCCCATGCCCCCCACCGTGTTGTTTCCTCTGCTTCTCTTTGCGATATGTCAATAACCTGATCCACCCGACTTCTGTCAAATATTTTGGGAAGATACTCTTCTGGCCACCTCCGAATGCCAGGAATTTTTGCACCTTGGCTTGGCTGCAATCCACATAGCTGGATCTTCGGATTTTTGCTCTTTAGATACCTTGAAGTGCCCATAATGGTTCCTGTGGTGTGAGGAGACACAGCAGGAACTTATCATATAGGACAGATGTGCGACCACTGCAGCACAAGTATGGCCAGCCCTGTCAGGAATACAAACGTGCAGCAGCTGTTTCTGTCTATGCATACCTCCAGCCTATTATGCATTGGGCAGATATTCTGCTGGGCACACTGCTGGAACACCTCATGTTTCCATCATGCACAACAGATGCCCACTTCACTCCGGAAGATCAGGACCAGGTGCAAAAGCCATTCATGCGTGCCATAGTTCTGGACATGTGCAAAAAAGCACACATCAACCAGAAATGCAGTGTGTAACAATCTTCATAGCAGCTCAATGCACCACCAAGTGTGGTGCACTGGTGTGTACCCCACCTGTTGTCCCCATTGAGCTGACCAAATGCGTGATTTGCCCATTGGTCTGCTCCCACAGTTCTGGACCTGCAAGAAGCAAAACAGCATTGAGCAGTTTTACACAGCTGGCGTAGAGGGCAAAAAAACACACCCCACAGTGTACCCCAGACAGGCATACAAGGCCGGGCACAAGCAGCTGAGTACATGGCAGTCACCCAAGCGTTTCATGTGGCTAGCATCATATCCACTGAATTTTGAATTTTCACAGGCGCTATGTGTGCCTTTATCATGGACCATGTTGCCAACGAGTTGACTCACATTTTGGAGTGGAGGGGCCAGTCTCTGTTGAATCAGATAGCAAACTTGGGGTGTTGGAAGTGGTGGGAGGGCATGGATTGATAGTTCGAGAACGAAACATAGCTATTGTTGTGCTTGGCATGATGAATGCAAGGAAATGAACCTGCCAATTATCCACACCTGTCGATGTGAAATGTGCAAGAGGGTTGTCAAGATTTCCAAACTGATCCAGTACGATGCCCTTCCCCTCAGCTTCCATCTCCTTTGCCAGATCACGTGCAGTTTCCATTTCTCCTGGTGGAACCTGCCAATCACAACAGCTGCATGGCATTACAAATGGTGTGCAGGGCTATGATCATGGAAGACCAGCCAACTGCTGGTTGAATGCTGTTGCAAACATCAGCACATGTCAGCTTCAGGTGCTTCGTTTGCCATGTGTGTGTGTGTGTGTGTGTGTGGAAAATGCCGTCATGAAGCTAAGACAGAGACATATACCGAGAAGGGAACATGATCAATATCGCTGTTCAGAAGTGCTTTCATGGTGTAAAGCTCCAGACAGAATAGTTCCAAACAGAACACAAACAATTCAATTGAAAACACTGCCACATTCCCGTTTGCCTGCGACCATGCCAATGACAACACCGAAACTGCAGAATTCCTACATTTGCAGTTTCCCAGCAGAAGTCTTGCCCAACCTGCTGACCCTGCTTCTGAGATAGTATGAGACAGGGTTTCTGCTATCGTCATCTGTTGCCAAGCCCCATTCAAAGAATGAGTGTTCCACAGAATGGCTGCAATGCTTGGGCAAAAGAGAGATAACATGCTCTAAACTTGTTTATGCAATGGTGTGAAAGTCAAACCAACACAAGAAAACACAACACCAGAGCTACATTGCATATGACAGATAAGAAGATGTTCTGTTGGCCTGGCTGCTCACACAACCATGTAGAACACTTGGAACACTGCACCTGCTTGGGGGACTAAACAAAAAAGAAATTGCCAATGGGGAATGAATGGTGCAGTCTAAGATTGATATTGAATGGCTGACAATACATTGGAAAGGACCCCCATTCTCCAGCAAAAGATAATAGCACTTAAAAAGGGCGAAATCGACATTCCTTGTAGATCAATAAGCTTACGGAAAGGTAGCACACGTACTGACAGCAGTTCCGCCCCATAAGCCGCCATGGCTGCTCGGCGCTCTTCACTCATGTTGGCTGGCATGATCAAGATCAACTTGTAGCCTGTGAGTGCAGGGTAGCCAGGAGTGCATCAGGAAAAAGGAGTTAACTGGGCAACAGGAGCAAGTCAACTGTGCCACTCAGTGGCAAAAGGGATGGTAAGAAATCATACATGACGAGTTGTGATTCTTCTGGAGATGAATCAAGCTTCCAATAACTCTGCCATCGGTTTTCAATCAGAGTTTGCCTGTCACCTTTGGACCCTGTGCATTTTTTGCTACCGAAAATCTATGGGGAGGTCAAAGCCTTCAATTTGTTGATGTCCTTTCCAACAGAGGGCAAGTGGGAAACTACAACTGTGCGGCATGTGCCTCTCAATACAGGCCCATGCCTGCCACCGTATTCTACATGCTGGCCATCAGTTACCTTTTATCGCTGCTGCCATTGCAAGAGCGATGCCAGTGTTCCCGCTTGTGGCTTCTATTAGTGTGTCCCCAGGTTTGATGACCCCCTTCCGCTCTGCTTCCTGTATCATGGAGAGTGCAGGCCTGCCCAGCACCAGCAGTGTCATTGTCTCCCTTCATACATTTGAACAATGCCTGACAGGAAACAGAGCAGATTCACACCATTTGTGAAAACAAGGTTTAACAGAGAAAGACAGAAACAGTAGTGACCACAACATGCCTGGAGAGGCACTGGGAAGATTGGGACATATTCAAGATATGGAAGGGTGCTATGAGATTGTTCAATGCCAAAACATTACATCGCAATTAGGGCTCCAGGTGCTGTCCATGTCCCCAACAAGGAAAGTGTGAAAGAGCGTGTGCCACCTTAGAAAAAGTGCAAAGCGATGCTAGACCCACAGAAAGATAGAATGATCATGAATGAAGAATCCCAAACAGAATATCGGCTCTGCGGAGGAGTTGGCACATCAGATACAGGAAATCGCATTTGTCCATTTTCAAAATAACAAGTTGGCAATGGGTATTGAGTGAGATACTGTCCCTTCTATCACTCTCTCAGGCTTTCAGATGAACCCCAATTTGGGTCACGAGTTTGGATTTGTTGGCAGTAGGGGTATGTTATGGGCTTTAGATTTATCGTTTTATTGGTTTGCAATCACATAAACAGCAGCAAAGGGTCAACACTCCTTAGCCTGGTAACATACCTGTCTTTGACAGATCCTGCTGGGTTGTTGCCTTCCAGTTTTGCAAGGATTATGTTGGATGTCCGTCCAGGGAGTCTCTGCAGCCTGACCAATGGTGTCCCACCAACGCATTGTTCGACAGTGGGAAAGGTAGGGATGCCAGGAGTTGATATCGATGCAACTGAAGTCTGTGCACACAGTGTGTGAAGCCATTGAATCTCCCATGATTGTCAGCATCAACAGGCTGACTTCAGATGTACTTCCTCTGTCCCATATTAATTGTCCTCTGTTTGGACACTAAATCTGTAAAAAAATGGCCTCCTTGCTGTAAGAAAACCTCAGAATCGGAACGAATGGGTCCCAAAACACTCGACTACCAATTTTCAAGGAAAAAGTCAGTCCAGACCTCTTTGAGCGTTGGGTGGATGATAAATTTTGTTCTTTTCTGGGCGAAACATTCGATGTTTACTAAGCAAAAGACCCTTGCCACAAAGCGCTGCCAAATCCACAACAATTAACAGATTGACTCCAATTTTTACCATATACTCCTAACTCATGGACACAGCTGTGGACAAAGTTTCACCACAACTTGAAGTTTCTATGATGGAGAAGTAACGCCCAAAAATCATAGAGGACAATTGGTGTGGGACACAGGAAGTACAATACTGGCTCTTGTACAGCAAGAACCTGGACTCTGGACAAAGTGGAGATTCTCAGGATGGAAAAGCCTGCTGCTCTTTCAGTGACCATATGATCTGACGAACAACAACAGCAACATCATTAAAATGTGGTGCTATGTTCTGGAATTGAAAAAATAGATGAAATCTGCACGTTATCCGGCCAAGGTAGGTTACGCGTTCTTTATGGAGCGCCTGGAAACATTTATCTGGCATTTACTGGTTATGATGGTGTCGTTCTTCCGCATTGCACAGCGTCATCAAGCCGGTGGCAGCACGTGATCAGATGGAAGAGTGACAGCAAATCAACGCATAGCACGATTGTGCACATATACTGTAGCATATAACGCATTGCTCGATTGTAAGTCGCCGTCCACAGCATGAGGCCACAGCATGAGGCCATGTGGTCATGCTGCGCAACAGCACAGAAGAACAACGCACAGGCGAAAGCCACGAGGCTAGACCGTCATCTCAGGCCAAAAAGAACACCGAAGGAAAATCAGACGCGAGGCAGCCAGGGGACGCTTGCGGCAAAGAATCAATGGGCATCCAGGCAGGCCCCAAACCATTGCAAAACAAAAAACACATCGCCCGGGGGCACCTCTGAAACTGCAGCAGGCAGCGGCTCAACACTCCCTGCTTGGCGCTCCCCGGGCCTTGCGGCTGCTCCTCGTGCGCGCCCCATGGCTGTGAGGCCCGGGGCCCCGTTGTGTTGCGATGAAGGCAAGCCAGCGGCAGCCCTCAAGCCACCAACGCATTGTGCAGATAAAGCCATCAGGGCAGCCGGGGGTTGCTGGCGAGGCGAGGAGGCCGCTGTGTCAAGGACCGGCCGTCTGCCCTTCAACGAATGGCGGTGTTGTGACGGGCCTCTGCCTTGTTCGACGATTTCAGGAACCGGTGATGCAGGACACAGGGCCTACGAACATGTATGTCAGTCTGCGGGTCCACATGACCTCACCGGCAGACGCTCGACTGTAAGGTCCCTTACCGCCAGCAGATTCACAAATCACTGCCAGGTTCCTCGGTCACTCTAATGGCATCCCCTCCCTAACACCCGCCAGAGCTTCGAGGCGCGAGACTGAGAGGCTCACTGTTGTGTGCCAAACAATCTAAAGGCACTCACCTCTGCCAAGCGCCGTTGCTGCCCTGTTTTGGGGACCTTCGAGCAGATCCCGCTGCGCTGGCGTTGTTGCACCTGCGTGGTGACGCTTTGTGCGCACCTCGCTGGTGTTCAGCTGCATCTCGGGGATTTAAAGGAATGCCGCCAAAGGTGACCTCACAACCGCGGGTTCAAGCCATCGACCAAAGCATCTTGGTCCATTGTCCGGTCAGTCCAGCCGACACTTGATTTTGACGTTCGTCCTTGTGCTCGTGTCTGGGGTCAAGGCAAAGAGACGTCGAAAGGAAGGGGATCACGTTGGAGTAGGGCATCAGGCCGCTTTGGAGTCTGTGGCAAGAAGTGATGCACTTGATAAAGACAAACCTGACGCCAAAAGGCTGCAAACATCGAAAGAGAGAGCACAGGTATGGATGATGAGAACAGTCGTGCCAGAAGGCAAGACATTTGGCCAAATGGCCCCACTACACAATGTACACGTAGCGATGCAGCGATGTAAATGCGCTGCAAGTTGGAGCAGAGATGCACCAGTCCTTGCTTCCTTTCGAACGCTTGGATGGCCACAGCCTTCTTTTTTCTAGAACAGAGAATTCCTGTCTGAATGGGCGTGGGCTGCTGCAGAAAGGAGTGTCATGCTTTCTCATGAAGAGCGAGCCAACCTGCTACTCCATAGATGATTTGGCAAAGGAGCCCGATGGGAAGACATGCTGGGAAGGTAGCGCGGAGGCTGACTGTTCTTCCTTTTAGGCCCTTTGTTACATCAGAATACGAAAGACCAAAAACTTGCTGCTGGATGAAATTGTGATCTGTTTTGCTTACTGTACCATGAAGATAGTCATTATAACAAAAAAGGATAGCATGTCTTGCGATGCCCGCCCCAAGAATGAGTACAGACTCTGTGAACTCTTTCTATGGCGTCATGGCACGGTGAGAGAACACAAGCCCAAAGGAAGTTGGTTGCATGTGTGCCAAAGTTAATCAAGCACAATCACGCGTCATTCCATCTGTGTCGTTATGTACATGATAGTCTTGAAATAGCGTACAAACCATGCAATAAGCCTTCCCAAAGCCACATAAAGGGATGAAGAAGTCTCCAAATGTTCTGTTGTTCTCTTCTGTTCAGGTGTCAGGAACTACCAAGCAAGGAACTTAATGCAGTCCTGCACAGTTGGAGACAAGGTTCTGTTTTATCACTCTTGTTGCAAGCCACCTGGTGTAGTTGGACTTGCTACGGTGTGCCGTGAAGCTTATCCAGACTACACATGTTGGGATGCCAAACACAGTGCCTATGACCCAAAGTCGACAGAGGCAAAACCCAGGTGGACAATGGTCGATATCCAATTCGTTCGAAAGCTGAAGCGACTCATCAGCTTGGATGAACTCAAGCAGCATAAAGATGGGGCTCTGAAAGATTTGGCATTGTTCAAGACGAGTCGTTTGAGTGTGCAGCCAGTGTCTGCAGACGAATATGACTTTATTGTGGGGCTTGAGAATGTGACAGAAGGAGAAAAGAAAGTCAATGGAGATGAAAAGTAATTGGCAGTGTTTACCAACAAGATGGAAAAATCTGCAGGGGAGCATCGGTACACTAACTGAATGTTTGTATTTGTTATGATGTGTTCATGGTGAACATGTCAGTTTTTCTCCTGTTTCTATCGGGTGTCAGTGATCACTGCAGTCAGCATTTTGATCATATTCCATCACCTTATCCACTTCGCCTGCCGTCATTTGATCATATTTGTGAACTGTGCCACAAATATACCATTTGCACCCTGTATCATCATTTATTCACACCACCGCTGCAGCATTGATTGTTGTTCCATGATTTTTTTTGGAATGTTGGTACTGGGGTCGAAGCTCCTGTGTGCTGTCGCACCTGTGACGCATGCATCATTGGCACTTGTGACCTCAGGAGTCCTATTCCGTTGTGGGTATGGACTGCATGTGGTCAATGCTACGTCCATGGTCTCATCAATGCACAGTCACGAGATATTGAAATGATCATCAGAGAGGACAGCACATTGCTAGAAAGTGCACCAACCCATGTGGCAAAATATTTGAGCGTGGGAGAGGAACCCCTAATATCGAAATGTTGATTCGAAATCGTCTTCTTAGTGTGTAAGATAAGAGCTGTGGACCGCATCGCGCAACCACTGCTGACCTGATACATTGCATTCTAGCCACAAATCGTGTCTAGTTCACCAAAATTCTCACCAAATGCCTCCCATACCTGCTGTGGTCACCAACACACAAGGTCAAAATGTGCGTTGCCCCCTTTCCTTTCTGACTACCTCGGCAACTGCTTCCTTGTGTTCATGCTGGCCTTTACTATTTAGCATTCTTCTTGTGGGTCCAACATGTTCCACAGCAGTTCCTGATGATGTACCACGCTTGGTACCCATTGCCTGAGCCAAGGATGGCTGTTCTCCCCATTGGAATTCCACTGCCATCAGAAGTGATGCACTCGTGTTCTTTCATATATTTCCACAACAGTGCCGCTTGCAGCTGCACCCTGCATTGTCAACTTTGTTTCAGGCCAGAGAAGGAAAAGATTGTTCACTTCCTGCATGGTCTGAATAATTCCACGACCGCACCGTACTGAACGAAGTGTATTTGCTGCCGCACACAAGCGACATTCCTTTCTAACCCACGATCACAAACCTCGGCTGGGTCTGTAGGTTGTTTTGCTTGAAGCTGGTGGACATTATTGTGAACGAAATTTTATCCAGTTTTCAGCATTTGGCATTTGGCGCTGGTTGGCTTTGGAGATTCTTGACAAAAGATATATGCAGTTGTCACACAGCTTTGGCAGTTAAGGCCGTGGATTACGGCTGTTTTCATGACAACCAAGGCCTTCCGCCAGACAGGCAAGAATGTGCTCAAACGCATGTAACTAGCATTTCAGTGTTTTCCGTTTCCCCACAATTATGAACAGTGACTACAAACACATTTCCGCACACCTCCGGTTCGCACAACGTGCAGGCAAATGCAGAAAACCAGAGGAATACTTGACGCACACCCGGAGGAAATACTGTGGGACCGCAAGTCACCAAAACGAGGATGAGGGCCAACAACACAAGCACTAAAGAAAGGGCTCCAGCGCTTCGCGCGACCGACAATGTAGAGCTGCCACTATATGGCCGTCCTCTCGAAAGGAGAATCGATGAACCGCAATGTGATTCCCTCGATCAGAACTAGATGAAAACCAGGCACAAGGCCTGCATTCAGACGGAGCACCCTGCACAGATCCCTATCAAAGGCACCAGCATAGTACGTTTTGTTGGGTCCATCACAGTTCTTTCCCAAATGCACGTCAGGCCCAAATTCAGTATGTCGGACACAACAAGCATATGCAACCGTAAAATTTCTGACCCAACAGCACGTGCGCTCCATACAACAAGAACATACGTGCAGCAAGTGTTGCAGGGGACCTGCAACTGCGTTAACTGACTTTGACACAGTTTGCACATGTGCACATGTGCGGGCGTGTTACGTATGTGCGTACTGCCCCAAGAATGCGTTGGGACGTATGCTATGGCATGTGTCATCTGGACCTTTCTCTCAGTGGTGTTTGTCGCTGATGCGGTTTTCTGGCGGCTAATCGCCTTCTACGGCGTATCCTTTGTTGGTGTTCGTCGCCCTCAACGCCTCGACCTCCACCACCTCCTACACTGGCGCAAATTGCACCAACAACCAGTTGAGATAACACGATTTTGTCTCATCTCAATACTACTTGATCACAGGTGGAAAATTCTGTGAAATTAGGACTCGTTCACCGGTGCCTAGTGATCGAGGCCTCTAGAGGTCCCAGATCTGAGACCGACCACTGCATGTCCCGTACGGTTCACACATAAGAGCACATCGCAACAAAGCAAAGGCGTAGGCACGTTCTCGCTGTAGGGGTCACGGTGCGCCAACACTGGAATTGCCTTGGGGGACTCACACTGTGAGATTCTCACTGGTGCAATCAACAGCCAACATTGCAGGATGATTTTTAATGCTCGCAGATCCAAGCAATTCAACAAAGCACGCTCGCCAACTTGGCTGTGCTGAGCAATGAACATCCGCGCCTCCCTCGAAATACTCAATCGGAAATACCTCATACAAGTACAACTGACGAGGAGCTCTGTAGGTCCTAGGACCTACATGGGCCTATTAATCACCACCCGTGTCAAATACAACCCCTCTAATTGAACTACGCCAATGCAGCTACCAACACTCTTCCGTGTTCACCAAAGGGGCCATATTAGTAGGTTCCCATATCTCAATAACGCCCCCTGCAGTGCTTGCCGTCATATCCCGCAGTTATGATTTAGTTATGCCTCGTCGTATCTCGTCCAGTCTCACCTCCATCACATCCGCCCCTTCAACTGAAATTATTGGATTCAACTGTTTCTACACTGGACATAAAAGCGTCCAACTGCTGCCATACACATGGGCAATCGCCATGGATCACATCTCACTCCGGCTCACCTAGAATTCAACTGTACAAGCAAAAAAATGACGTGATTACCACAAAATAAATCTGCATTTACCACAATGTCAACCCACCTGCGTGGTCTCATGATTGCGTCAATAAGGTCATCAGTAGCACGCACCGTTCGCAGCGAACGTCTATCACAACTAAGTGCACCCAATTGCGCCACATGACGCACGTCGTGCATTTGGAGTGGCCCCTTTCTTTCTCTTCTTACTGTGCGGGATATGGGTTCACTTCCTCAACAATGATCCACTGCCGATTCAAGGAGAGTGTTTCGGTTGAAGCACCCCAGCTCAGCTTAGCTCAGCTTTGGCGACTGTGCATGCCAAAACTCCGACTAGGCTGTAGCACTCGCTGGATCACCCAGCCAGTCACCAGCTGCAAGGCTTGTGTCCCACATGGAGTATGGGGCAAAGGTGAATAACAGTGAATTCAACAGCAGCAAAGCACGTCGATCGCTGAGAAGCGACCCAACAGAGAAACACCAAGAATAATAGAAGAAACCTGCGCCCCAAGAAACAGTCCCTTAATGTTAACTCTTCCCCCCAACGTTGGGGCCACACAACGTTCCACAATCTGTGCGGCCCACTCCCTCTGTACGAATGTCAAGAACCGGGGTAGGCATTTGAGGGAGCCAGTGCAGGGAGCTCACAGAGCATGATGCCCCTATGAGGCAGCTCCCCATTAGTAAACACCTGCCTCGAAGCTCAGGACTGTGTGTGCAATGAGGAAGATACGATGGCGATTCTATGCCGGTGCCATGAAGAAAAACTGCACAGAGAAGCTGGCTACCGGGTAAGTTGCGAATCGCCCAACAAGCATTCGTTGGGAACCGAATAACCTGCTTTCTCAGCTGCACTGTGCCCCCCTGCAACCCGAGCACAATGTTGAAAACACTCCCTGGCCGCGGCCTGGGCGCCTGCCACATTGTATGACACCCACCCATCCGAGGAATAATCCCAATATTCTTGCCCTGTACATTGACTTAACTCCGCGCCAGGTCCACCGTCCTTCCGCCGCTCGCGCCCAAAAAGCCCCACCCACCGTCCCGGCACCATCCCTGCCGTGGGGAGCGCGACCGCAACTCTTGGCCCTCGGCCCCCCTGCACCGCATCGAGGCAACAGCGGAGGCAAGATGATCATCTTCAAGGACAAGCTCTGCGGTGGGTGACGCCTGCCGCGGGAATGGGCGCGGAGTAGGCCAGCTGGCGGCGCCGCCTTGGGCGAAGGGGAGCGCCTGCTGACCTGCCGCGCACGCAATTGCCAGGGGATGAGCTGTTCGCGGATTCCTACGCAATGACCGAGATCATGGACGGCTTCTTCTATGAAGTTGAGGGCAAGGTGAAGACTCACGCGTATGCTGTGGACACCGGCGGCCCGAAGGTCGCCGGGTCTGTCCGGCGCTGGCGCGATTCAGCGTGCCGTGGCTCTCAATCCGTGCGGCTGACTTGATTCCGCGGTTCCCACCCAGTCGTGGTGTCGAGGAGGGAGGCGTGTGCTCATCTCTTGTGTGTCCGTGGTCTCGCAGTGGGTTGTCGTGGGCGATGTCGACGTCGACATTGGCGCCAATCCGTCTGAGGAAAACCCGGATGAGGAACTTGACTCTTCGGCCCGGAGGGTCGTGGATATCGTGGATGGGTTCAGGCTCGTGGTATGTGGAAAGTCACACAGCGCGAACGTCGAAATGGGTGTCTCGTAGCACGGCCTAGCCATCCCTTTGCCGCTGTGCCGGTAGCTCACGTGGGGATGCCCACGACATAGACGATTGGGAGTGGAAGGGTGGAGAGCGTGGGTGGTGAGGGTTGGCCTTGGCAGCCAGCCGGTGGGCCGTTCTTTGGTCCCTGCTGTGTGGATTGTACTGGGCCGTTTGTTGGATGTGCGGTCCAGTGTTTGGATCATCAGGCAGGCAGCAGTCCCCCCTGGCCAGCGCAACCTGCTGACATTGCGATCTCGCTATTCGCAGGAGACAGCACCCCATGACAAGAAGAGCTACATGGGCTACGTCAAGGTAACCGCCTCACAGCCATGCAGCAGACAGGCCCCCTAGCCCACTTGTGCTGGCAGCAGGAAAAGAAAGGCAGGGGATCAAGTCCTCTGCCTGTAAAATACCCTGTGCAAGATTCCACAGAATGCATTAACACAAACAGCTGAAAGACAATACTCTGCATGCACGAGCTCTGTATGGCCAACATTGATGACAAGCGTGTTGCATTTTGCACATGTATGTATCGATTGTGCACACATGGCAGTTTATTTGCATTCCTGAGTCGAGAATGATCTCATTTGCCTCGCAGCCATGGCTCAAGAAAGTCGCTGACAGCCTTCCTGAAGATGAACAAGACGAATTCAAGGCCAAAGCCCAGCCTGCCATCAAATTCATTCTGGGCAAAATCAAAGACATGCAATTGTGAGTTGCACTGGTGGCATGTACTGTCAATATTCGAGAGAAAGATACCTTGTTAGTGAGCACAATCAGTTTTGGTCGCATGGGCATCGTCATGCCCTGGCTTTGTGTTGACTGAGTGTGGATAGTTTTCTTCATGCGAAATGCCATTGTTGGGCATTGTCACTTCAGCAGGTGTTCCCTATGGTGTTGGCAATGTAGAGCACCAAATCATGCCCACCAGTGGAAGTTGCTGCACTTTCATGGTGTTGCATCATTGTGTCAGAAGGGAATGAAACCTTACAGCAGAACAATGGATTTGGCACCTGAAGTTTACACATTTGTGCTTGTGTATCAGCTTCACAGGCGAGTCGATGGATTCCGATGCCACCCTTGTGTATGCCTACTACAAGGAAGGCGCTTCCAATCCCACTTTTCTGTTTCCCAGGTATGCACTAGACGAGATGAAGTGCTGAGGACGGGTCGTTGCTGCAGGCTGACTTTTGGGGCACTAGTGTGTGGAGGGGCCTGTGCCTGGGTGCAAATGAACAATACAGACTTTCTGTTTATTCGTGGGTGTCATTGAGCGATTTTCAAACTGGGTTACAATCTGCCATGGTTCTCTGGGTACTCGGATTGCGTTGTCTGAAAGGAGTCCTTTTAATGCTTGCACTGAATTTGGCAGTTGTGGGCGCAGTGCAGCATGCCACATAGTTTGTTGCGTTCAGACATTTGATCCCCATTGCGAAAGAGCCAGAATTTCAGAAAGGAACGCACGTGGCGCCAAGAAGGAGAGCTGTGGAAAGCACTCTTGAATGTGTGGTGGTGATTGGGAACCAGCCACTGGCTCCGTATCCTCCTGCTGGAATTGTGGCGTTTGTTCGGCCGCCTCCATCAGCCACATTTCAGACACGCCATGTGGCATATTCCCAGTGTGAAGAATGGGAAGTATGGAGTGACCCAATGCAGCTGTGCTTGAATGCCATCTCCAACGTCTGTACAAGCAGCGACAGTGTCAAGGCCATCTCTTGTGCTTGACGCATGAAACCACTTCTGCTGGCATGACGTGTCTGCCTGCAAGGAGGAACGACTCCTGACGCACAAACGCAGCCCTTCCCCAAGAACGTACAAATGGTTGCCAACGTGCAATCGCCGTGGCCACATGTGAATTTTTGCACTTCTCAAGCGCATGTGCAATTGCCGCGTGGAATGGACTATTCAAAGAACTACACGTCGGCTGTTTGTGAAGAGCACAGGATCGCTGCGTTTCGTCGGGTTATCTACGCGCCCAAGGTTGCGGATTCCATGGCGGCACCCAGTGTATCACCTCACGATGGTCCAAACCGGCGCCCAACGCAACTTACCATTCGGACTGGTCATGGACAAAGATGGCCAAAGTGCATCATCATCCGTTGATCCATAGCTGCTGTGAATACCCTGACGACTTTTGCTTGCTGCAACGGCTTCGGTGATATGAATAGCTCAATGACCTCATTGTGCCCACGTTCTGTACCCGTCCGCTGAGTGCTCAAGCTGTCCTGCACATTTGACTCGACTGTCGCAATTGAAACGTGCGTGTTCAGCAACACCAGCGGGATATCGTATCCATGTTCCTGCTCCGGATGACTGGATTGGCTTGAACATGGCGTACATGCCAGAACCGAACTGGGTTGTTTGTGTTTGTAGAGGCGTGCAGCCCGTACTGCTATTCTTGATTGTCAGGAGCACCGGCGAGGTGAACACTGAAAGTTCCCTCCCTTGCTGACCGCCAACATGGCAGGTGGACCAACGGCAACGTGATTCCGCAATTGAGGGACGGCTGCTATCAATGTTCCCATGCACAATGTCCACACAGATTTGCAAACTGGGGTGCCAACAGAATCGCAGTGCTCCACAATGCTCATGAAGTCTGGACATCCACTTTGAGCGCTTTCTGCCCTGCTGTCTTCAATGAGATGCACCCCGCGAGGATGCGCTGAAATTCCCAACCTTCGGCTTCCCTTGTTTCATTCCTTACGTTCGCTCTTACTCCCTTGTCCGATTCATCCACGCGTTCAGCTGGTGCATGCCAAAGCTCCCATGAAGCTTGCCGGGGACGCGCTTGCTTCACGATGCACCAATCATCTTTGCGCTTACTCTCACAGCTGCAATCTCGACCGCCCCCGCATTTGTGGTCCTCGACGGTGTCGCTCACAGGATAGCTGGAATAGCTGCACATCCCATCCGACAAATGATCCGCAGTCTGAACAAATACCATCTTCTCAATACATTGCAGTACATTTATGCTATCATGTGCCCACTTGAATTGGCGCGGGATGGTAGCTGAACCCTAAACGTTCTGAAAACCCTAAAGCAGAAGAGCCCAGACCACAGTGGTCGTGGGCTGAACATATCTCGCAGTTGTGCGCGTGGCCAGGTAAATTTGCCGCGCAGCATGTACAGAGCGCTCACGTTGCGAAAACCAGCAGCACTATCGTGCAGCAATGCGATATGGCTTCGATACTTTGACAGCTCCGTCTTGAAATTCTGTCATTTGGACAGTACTTGGGAGGCCTTGTATTGGTCCACTTTTGCTTCAAGTGAAAGTTTTGAACTACAACACAGTCCACAACCCACCGAAACGTCAGCGAGATTAGGGGGAAGCACAGAATGTGGGGAAAAGGGACGTGCTTGAGCACAGTTGCCGCATATCTTGGGTCAGAATACCTGCCAGAAAGACGGCATCTGCGCTCCTTGCTGCCTTCGGATAGCAGTCCGCTCCCTATCCACGTTCCCATCGTTCTTGTGCACGACACAAGAACGCCAAGGCAAGTTTTGTGCCCGCACAGCCCCGACTGCAAGTACGAAACAGTTTGACCCATTACCTAGATGGGAACTGCATCGTTTCATGGCTTCAATTGTTGACATTAAGCTCCACGTCCTCCCACAGACCCGAAGGCGCCGCCAGTGCGTGCGGAGCGAGGGCGCCTGCGAGCAGCAGCCATGGTGGCCAAGAAATACTCCACGGATGCGCCTAACCCCACGAAGTCATGCAAGGTCAGCGCTGCTTGCGTCACAGCAGCGATGATCGCTGGCCGTCCTGGCTGCTGGACCTGGGATCGTTCCCGGGATGCGGTCCCGCTTGAGGAGCGCTTATGAACAGCTTGCATGACTTTTCTTTGCATCTCGCGCCCCTATGTCAGCGACAGGGGCGCTGCACTGAGACTGATTATCGGATCTTGCTGTGAGCTGCGCGTCCATGGAGGTGCCGGCCGCAATGCTGAACCAGGCCACCGCATGTGTTTGGATGTCAGGCTCGTGGTTCCGATCTGCGTGTGCACTTCAAGAACACGCGTGAGTCGTGCTTCGCGATAAGGCGGATGGAGCTGGGAAAGGCCAAGAAGTACTTGGAAGATGTGCTGAACCACAAGCGGTGCATTCCCTTCCGGCGATTCTGCGGCGGTGTGGGCCGCACGAGCCAGGCAAAGAACGAGGGCAGCACCACGGGCCAGGGCCGTTGGCCCAAGAAGTCCTGCGAAGTGCTGCTCAACCTGCTGAAAAACGCCGAGAGCAACGCAGAAGTGAGCTGCTGGACGTCTTCCGTTTGAGTTTTTGTCAATGGGAGGACTGATGATTCTCAACTGGCGACTCGGGACGTGCCAGCGCCCTTTGTTGTGCTGCGTGATACCCTGATGAGCCGATCATGGGACACGTGAGCTGATTTTGTGCTGCTGCGTACGGCACTTGAAGGAAAATCAAATAACTTCGGTTCAGTGCATTTCGTGACTGCTTCTCGAAATGGCTTTGCAAGAGAAAGTGTAATTTGGGAAGGATTGTGCCACTGCCAGATGCCGCCAGCGAGGGCCAGTCAATGGAAGGTTGGTTATCCATCGAGACTGACTGAGGACTTGTTTTGGTGTGCAACAGTCAAAGGGGCTTGAGGTGGACAACCTCTTTGTTTACCACATTCAAGTGAACAAGGCCCAACATCAGAGGAGGAGAACCTACAGGGCCCACGGCCGAATCAATCGTGAGTAGCAATGGCAAGTGCCTGCGTTGGTCGTCTTGTACCTTGTGCCTTTGCTGGGAAGCCACGCGGCTAAATTCCTATGTCGAAGCTGACCTTTGAAACACAAAGTGGGGACTGTGCACCTTGCAGGCCATGACGATGGATGCAGGCGACAAAGCCCTATAGCAACGCCACCCTGCACTTTTCCATGTATCAATGCATATCCACTATTGCGTGAACATCGTTGTTGTGATGCTGCGCAGCGTACATGTCTTGTCCATGCCATGTGGAGCTGCTGTTGACTGAGAAGGAGCAAGCAGTGAAGCCAGAAGCGGTGAGTTGTCCTTGAATGGGTGTTGGTCTCCTTTACATCAAGATCATCAACATATTCGCTGTTTGATCTTGGTCTGCGACCTTTGGAGCCTTCAGAAGGGTGTTCAGGGCAGGACAGTCGCTGACAACGAGTTGTGACCCCATGTGCAGGAAGACAAACCCCAGGCAGTGAAGGTGCAGCGCGCAAAGAAGCTGAGGGCTCAGCGACTTAGGTCTGGTGCCCGATCGGCGCATGCCAGCTAGGCTGCATATTCCTGGGAACCACTCTTTCGAGTGCAACCATCCTGCCAGCAGGCAATGGGCTGAGCAACAAGTGCAGCAATGGCGATCGTGCTTTTCAGGTGCTTTTGAGTGGACCTTTTACTAGGAAGACAGAAGACAGATATCCAGCATGGACTTCAACTCCGTTTCTGCCAAATGCTTGTGTTCCTTTCAGATGTGTAGAAGGGCGTCCTTGTGGCTGCAAAGGAGACGATTTTGGCTGCCACCAGCCAAAGACACTTGCAGATATACGTTCTTGAGACTGCATTGTAAATGGCATTGATGCTCATTGTGGGTGCCGTTGGTCCGTCTCCATTGGGACTCCACTCTATTGGCAGCTTGTAAGACATTATGACATCTTGTGGTCCAAAGGATGCAGCACATTTTGGCGGTCCTAGATTGCTGCTAGTGCTCAATGCGTTTCAAGATGCCTGGTGGTTTCTGGCGGTGGCTTATGTTTCCCAAAGGTTCCACCATGTGCATAGCAACAGAATCACGCCAACGAGCATTAGTGTGGCCAGCAAGTGTACTCCAGCAAGCATGTTCCTTCCTTTTCAGTCAGGTTGGTGGTTTGTCTGCAGTCGATGGGTGTTCACAAGTTCTTGCTGAGTCGGCTCCGGCCTCTGAGGGTCTGCCTAACCTTCCAGGCACTTTTGAGTAGTTTCTGTGTGTGCCTTGTATGCTATGTGTCCACGTGTACGCTGCCAAGGGCTTTTCGTTGTATGCACACACAAGAATTGGTGGAACAGGCAGGTTTTTACACCAACAGCTCGTAGCTTGAAGATAAAAAGCAATTGGGCATCCATGGGATCGTATGTTCTATGGGTTTTCACTGTCAGCTGAAGGGTGACAAGTATAAGTAAGCATTGCTGAACTGTTGGGTACCTGCGGGGTTTTCCTTGGCTTCTGCTGTGCCAAGCTGCAATGCCAGGCCAGTGGCTGCAGCTGCATGACACCTGCACAACCGTAGACGCCCAGAATCCACAGACACTGTTTGGTGCCTGCACCTGCCTGCCAGCATCTGGCGGTCTGCTGAGAATGATGCACCCTGCTCGAGCTGATTTCCACGCGACTTGGCACCCATGCGATATCCACCTCCTCACGCAGAGACCCAGATGGGTCCCAACAACGCGTCACCACACTGGCGACAGCGCAACATCAACAGCACGCAGCAAGCTACATTTACAAGTACCAGCGCCCAATTCGAGTCTGAAGCGGGCTAGTGCACCTAAAACGCAACAGAGCTCTGGTTATCTGCACGTCTCCCATCAACCACCATTGAACGTTTCTGAAGACGGGGTGCAGAGAGGCTGCAATAACATGCCCACCATCCTCTTCTGCCCCCAGAAAAGAAACGACCGTCGCTGAGCCACTATGCACACGCCTATGAAACGGGGGAATATAATTGACTAATTGGATTGCACTATTTCTGCGGACGTGGAAAAAGTCCAAACATCACGCAGGCTTTAACTGTACACCCACAATTCTGATATCCTTGTGCCTGGCAGCTTCCTTGCCCCCACAGTCGATTTCCAATCCAAGCCGCAGCTATCTGTCTTGAATTTTGCTGAGACCGTCAGTCAGCTCATCAATCCCTGAGATCGTACCAATTTCCCTTGAACACCATCGCATGCTTCCAAATCGAATCTCGCTGCCATCTTCGTGGCAGCTCAGAAAGAAATTAAATCACTGCAGAAGCTCCCATGCTCCCCGCCACGATTTGCACACGCTGCTGAAAGTCACTGCTGTGGCGCTGTGCGAAAAGAAAACTTCAAAACATCCCGATGGCAACGCCTCCTGCACTGGTAGAGAACGAACGTTAACCCAACCCCGTTTTGCAGCACAAGCGACGTTCTCCAGCAGTTCAGCTGGCTACAGCGTTTCCTGGTTACCCGCGCATGCATGTGGTTCGTGCGAACCACCCCACTACACTTGACTGCTTTCTCCAGCGCCCAAGCCACCACAGCAATACCGCCCCTCTCACAACAATACGCCACAGCCCCTTCCACCACAAACGGACCAAACTCCAATTTCAGACCTTCGCTTCATTCGCCACATCCAACACAGCATCGCCGCCATTGGCGCCGCCCCAACCCCTCCTCCTTACCATCGGCTGACTTGGCTCGTAATCGAACTCCCTCCTGGACGGCGGGTGAAGGAAGTCTGCGAAGTTGGAATCGGTGGACTGGAACCGCTTGGGAGGGACACCTCCCGGTGTACCGGGCACACTGTCTCCTGCCCCGCCCTCGTCCACCCCATCAGGAGAAGCCTCCTCCCCAGCGGGGAAGACATCCCTAAAAGCGGCGGGCATCTGATCTGAGCGAGTCAGCATTGTTCTTGTGGCATTCATGAGGCCGCTCATCTGAGCTCTGAGAGGGAATTTCGCGCAGTGCGTCCCGAATGGGTTGTCCAGCAGGGAGTGCATGTCCAACAGTCCCTGAAACATCACGTTTGCCAGCATCACAAACGCGTAGCACCACGCGGCTGTCCAGTAGTTGTCTGACACTTCCAATCTGCCCTTCTGCACCGTGAACACCTGGTCGTCGAATGTCCCTTCAAACTTTTCTGCCGTAGGGAACCCAGCGTGCAAGAACGTGCCGAACCACGTAGTGCACACAAAAAGGTACACGTGGACGACGAAGGAGACAAGATGGACATATGGGTATGGCATCTGCTGCGATGACATTGTCGAATATATTTGGGATGCGTTTTCAACAATGACGCCGAGTTTGCCCAGCATCATGCCAAAAACCTGAGGGGATGTGACGAACTTCTCTTGATTGCACCGATGCAGCAGGGACTGCGTCCAGAAGTACACTTTCTGGAATCTTGGTAGTCCACTGTCCTCACTCTCCTTCAAAATGTCCCACTCGTCCGAGTTGACCAGCCCCTCATGCACCAGATCGAAAAAGTCGATGTTCCTAGCCTTCTTGCTCCACAGCACATCATCCTCATCCTGGTCTGTCGGCTTCAGCGAATTGGAACCCCTGGCAACGGACCGGCCCAGCACCTTGACAACAGTCTTCACCCCGCGGCCAGGTTTAAATTTCCTGTCCTCGGCATCTGCTGCCGACACCACAAGGAAATGGCCCAGGTTCAGCAGCCTGGTGAGCTCTGTGCGCGCCCTGGACGTCCTGGGGTCGTCGGGGTCATCAGAGTTCAGGTGGGCAGAGACGAGCATGCACAGATCCAGGG